TGTCTTCCTAACCATAAGTAATGGCAGCAGCTCAGCTATTACAGTTAGCACTGGGGAAAAATAGAACCCCCATAAAAATAAAATATTATGTAAATGATTAATTACAATGCAGACAATTGTAATCTTGTTTAGCTGCCTGTTGGCATGCAGATAAATGGGAATGAGTTGGGAACAGAGAACAAAAATTTAAAAAAAGCTAAGATTGTCCAGACAAGGAAGGACTGAGAGGATTTTTTAACAAATACAACAAACTATTTTTGCTATTTATAACAGCCATTTGCAATTTAAGGACTAAACATTGCATCTAGTCCAAAGTGATGCTCAGCTAATGCAAACTAGACAGTGGGAGTGCAAACAATTATACAGTTTTGCATTTGTTTAAAGGAGCAATATGTAAGAATTCTAAATGGCCTTTATTTGTATAGTGCCTTCTTATTGTTCTACAGCCCCCCAAGGCACTTCACAACACAATAGTAGCTCAGTCATCCACCTGATGAGCTGCAATGTATCCACAGCTGCCCTTGGGCACTCGGACGGAAGCAAGACTGCCGTGAAAATAACAAAACAGTCTAATGTCTCAGTCATGGAAGGAAGGTTACACTGAAACAGATTTCATTTTCAGCCGGCTAGGGGGCTGTAAGTTTATCTCCTTTCAAATTAACAAAAGAGGAACGTAGTTACTGTTTAAAATCTGTGAGCCAGTGAGGTTCCCACGTCTGCGCTGAGCTACCACTGCGGAAAGCCGGTATCGGTACAAGATCAGCTCGGGGTCCTTTGACTGCCGATGACGTCAAAGTATGGCAAACCCACTCGGACAAAACACACTACACATCTATACTGTTGGAAAGAATTGAGCAGTTTCGTTATTAAAATAATGTTTCTTAAGACGTAAGTTTGTGTTTATAATGGTATTTGTAAAATAAAACACTATATTTTATTCATAATGTTGAACTCCTCTTTGAGCACATCCCTTGAAGGATCATAGGTATTAGCAACACCTGTGAAATTGTATTTGCAGGAAAGAAGTGTGTCCCGTTTATTTAAGTATTTTGTGTTTAGAGTTGTTGACGTCTTGTGCATGCGTAGTTCAGGTACGCTCATAGCTGCTAGCCAAAACTCTGGAGTTAAAAGTTTTCTGGCTTTACTAAAATACCTGTCTGTACTTATTTGATTGATGGTAGTTTTACTTTCTACAAGACTCCAAATGTAATCATTTGGCACGTTTCTAATTCATAATTTGTAATAATGTAATCGGTGATATTAGCATTACCATTCCTATGGGCTTTTCCACGTATATTAGCATTGCGCTAACCACTCGCTGCCAAATTGCAGCCTTTGCGATTAGAAAATCTCCTTTTGTCACAACCCAATTTAATTGCACATGCAGTTAATCGTTCAGCCCTAATATACATGCAGCTCTATGCTAAAAGTGTATTTTCAAAGAGGTAATGATGGATTTCTTTGTAAAAGTTGTCCATCTTTCCAACAGAAAGATTTGCCTGGACCAACGTAACGTGATAACAACGTAACGTGATTACGTAATTCTGTAAGGTTCATGTTCAACCAATCAACTACTATGACGTCATCAGCAGTCGACGGACCCCGAGCCGATCTTGTACCGACACCGGCATTTGCAATTCTACATCGGCAGCAAAAAGCTCCAGAGCTGTTTAAAGAACCAAAGCCAGTACACAGGAGTGACCCAGAAGTTTTTTATTGTTTCCCTAAGAAGACATGTGATCTTTTTGTTTTACTCTATTGGATGAAGCAGACTACAAGCTAACATTGAACTTACAATGCTAAAGATGAGTTAGAAGCAATAGTTGGCTTTAAAAATACCTCAAGCTTATTTTTCAATTGCCAACAACTCAATATTACAGTAAAGTATACAGTGGTCCTGCATTTTATTGCAGGAGTTACATTCTAAAAATAACCCGCAAAAGACAAGATCAGCAAAGTAGTCAGCTACATTTTTTTTACAATTATTATAGTAATATGTAGCGTACTGATGGAGTCTCACAGACACATACAAATATACAAACCAGAATGTCCGTTTCACAACTATTTTATTTCCACACACTCATGCCAATTGTGGTGTGAGAATGTGGAAATCCAGTCTCTCGAACAATTCAGTCTCTCGTCATCATGACTCGCATCTCTTACCCCTCCTCTTTTATATAAAGACCCAGGAGCGTGGATAGTTCACGCGCTCCAACCATGACACAGCTTGTTCCCAGACACAGCAAAACTACACACAAAAGGAAATCTGCTAAACTGCAAGGCCGCAAAAGTATACTGTGTTATCGCAAGGTACCACTGTACTTTATGTGGGATGTGAATGAGTCGGTCATGGCATTTTACTTCCTTTAATGAATCGTTCTGGGCAATAACAGCAAGCTAACAGCAAGACAGCAAACAACACTTCCTCTAATGCCTATTTTACCATAATAAGTGTACTAAGTGTTCCCTACCGCAGGGGCGGATTAAGGACTGAAGAACATCCAGGGCTTAACACACGCACACACACGCGCGCGCACACACACACACGTGACACGCACTAGTCAACATCATATATGTCTTGTACCAAATAATTTTTTATCTGAAGCTACATATTAAGCATTTTCAGGGCAGAGTATTGTTCCTGTTAGTGTTTAGTGTGAGATGATGGTAAATATTCCCTTTCTTTCTCCAACAACTTTACCTGATAAGCTAACTTTAGGCAAACCAGCAGCACAACAAATATTTTCAAATAAGACTCACAAACCTGAGTCAACAGCAGTCTCATCAAAGCTGGGGTTCTGTCGCCGTACTTTTGGTCTAAAAAACATCCTTATTTCCATCTTTACTCATGCGTTTCAGGCAGAGACTGCAGAAGAAGCCGGCTGCTGAAGGGCTTCTTCTTCAGTGGTGGAGGCTCAGGCAGGCTGTATACAAACTACTGCCAGCTGCTCCCTCTCTGTTGGACTTTGGTACTGCATGTTACTTCCGCAATTTAGATCTGGGGCTTTCAATGAAGCATCCGGGGCTTCAGCCCAAGTAGCCGGGCCTAACGCCGCCCCTGCCCTACAGTAAAACACCCAAGAGTGCTAACACTAAATTTGACAAAGCATTTATCTACTTATCAACTTACAATGTCTGACTTGGCTTTGCTTGTCATCTAGAATTTTCTGGCACTGATCAATAACTGGATACTGCCATGAAACTCGCTGAACGGGAGTGTGAAAAAAAAATTGTTTTGAAAAATGGCTGCAGTAACCACATTTGAGAACAGGATTTCATTCCTACATGTTGCTCCTTTAAGTTAGCAAGGCACTGTTTCACGAATGTGGCAAAGACTCAAAGTGGGCTTTATGCTTGATGATCTCAATAAGAAAACCCTTATAGAAATTGCTAAATCTACTGTCAGACAAAACATTTTATATATATTTTTTTATTAATAAGGAACTACTTTTCTTGTGGTGACGCTTCCTTTTTAAGTGTATGTTATTTCAAAGTTATATGTGTGATAATCAAAGTGTGAATTCTGAGCTGAAAAGACCAAGTAAAAGAATCTGAAAAGGCAGAAAAGTCCAGTGCAGACATGAGAAGAAAGATTGGAAAGAAGAAGAGTGATCTTTTGGTGCCTTGGCTTAATGGCATTGGTCCCACATGGGAGAGAGGGGATAGAGCCGAGTCTTGTGAGAGAAATAATGAATCCAGAGATAATCTCAACCAAAACAGAATCCTCAAAAAATAAATACTCAGGAATAAACTCCTCAGCATCTGTTTACATTAATTTTTCTTCTCTTTTTCTGTCCTATTTATCTATTTTTCTCCATCGGTCTTCCTGCATTCATCTCCCCTCCACTTTCAATACTGTGCTGTTATCTAACCGAATTGAATCCACCCCAACCTGTTCTACTGTTCTGACCATGGACAATATGTCTGTTGGACTTTGACAAATTAAACCAGCTGGATATATGGCAATAACCTTCACAGCATAACACATGGTGGATGGTTGGAGGGAGTGTGAGAAAGGGAACAGAGACTGAAAGAGAGAGGGATGGATGCACATCCAGATGGATGGTATACATTGAGCAGGGCATGGTATTTCCAACCCAGATCCAGTGTGTGTACATACAGACTAACTCTAAATGTCACCAAGCCGACACAGCTGAAACGCACAAAATTATCTGAGCAGACAGTTAATCACCTCCACAAAACAATCATCCCAAAGGATTATAATTACTGTAAAAAAAAGAGATGATATACCTCACAAGAAAATGAGACAAATAGTTGGAAAAACGTAGTTTTGCACCTAATTTGTCATCTTTAAATTCATTCAATAGATTAAGAAACTACATTCTCAAAAATAGCTGCTTTCAAATTTGCTTCTTAATGATGATTAAAACTTGTTTGAATGGAAAACAGTTACTGACAATTAAATAGACAGAATCATCTCATTTATTTCCGATCACAGCTAATATATCACTAATAACGAGCTGAATTGTACCTCTGAACTCATTTACAAAGCAATCACAAAGAATTTACCTCCACAATAAACCGGTCATCACTGAATAAACAACTGGCTTTGAACTGATTTTTATTCCATCATTATAAAAAAAAAGTGACAACCTTTTAAAACACCAATCAAACTGTTGGAGCAGATGCCATTCGTGCACATTTCACCAGTTTTATAAGAAAATAAAGCTTCTGCAAGTCATTCAAATAATCACACACAACCCAACAGGAGAGGCGCGTGAAGCAGCTGCGATCTGCACAGCATGACAACGGCTTGATTGATGCGGAGGTTCTCCAGTTAATCACCTGGTAGGTGACAACAATGCACAGTCTGGCAAGTGGTGCACGCGTTCAAACTGAGTCAAGCGCAGAGCGCAAGCAGTTCAAACTCAAATAAACGCGCTAACTGTGCGTGAAACCGAGCGCAACCCCCAACACGTACACACACATAAACGTGCGGTGCAGGGCATCGGACTTCACATCATCTCAAGTTAACTCACCTGGTCTGAGAGGCTTTTGATTGGACTCAGGCGGTCTCCTGCTCTCTGTGATTTGTCGGCGGTGGCGCACGGACTTTCTGCGGGCTGCTCAACCTTCCAGCGTGGCTCCAGGTAAGCGCATTGGTCTGTCGGCCAAGTGGGATGTGTCCCTGCTGCTTCCACCAGACTCAAACGTGCACTCTCTCCTCCGCTGCTCACACAGCTGCAGAGAGAAATATAAGGATGGGCAGCGAGGCGCTTCTCTCTCTCTCTCTCTCTCTCTCTCTCTCTCTCTCTCTCTCTCTCTCTCTCTCTCTCTCTCTCTCTCTCTCTCTCTCTCTCTCTCTCTCTCTCTCTCTCTCTCTCTCTCTCTCTCTCTCTCTCTAGCAATCTGGGATGCTCTTGCTCTGCTGCCAGTCACACAGATGCGCACTCCTCCCCATGTGCACTTTTTATTTCCTTCTGTGGCTGAGCTTAAAACTGCCCGTTTTCATCCCCTTTTGCATTTCTGCTTCTCCCGCTCTCTTTTTCTGTATTGATCAACGCGTTGGTGTCTTTGCTTGTGCAGCCTCTAGTGGCCGTGCTGTTCACTGCGGTCAAGTGAGCCGTCGTTCGTTTGTCCGTGGTCAAGTGAGCCGCACCTACAATTGTAGTGCGCGTTTAAACTGTAGTTTACGGTAACACCCGTCTCGCTGCTGGAGAGGAGCTGAGATGAGCGACAGAATGGGCTGACATCAGGACGACACAGAGCTGCATCCTATACATACATACTAAGTACCTCGAGTACTACCTGGTACTAAAGTATGAACTACTTTTACAGCGTACTTTTTCAGTAATTCTACTTCAAACTGTCAAAAAAGCCAAAAGTGCCGTGTTTGAGATAAGATAAAATTGTGTTTTGTAAAAAGGACACTAGGCCACTGTATGAACTACTTTTACTGTGTGCTTTTTAAGTAATTGTACTTCAAAGTATGTCCAAAAAGCTAAAAGTGGCAAGTTTGAGATGGGATAAAATGGTAAGTACCACCAGTACTACCTGGTACCAAAGTATGAATTATTTTTACTGTGTACTTTTTCAGGAATTGTACTTCAAATTATGTACAAAAAGCCAAAAGTGCTGTGTTTGAGATGGGATAAAATGGCATTTGGGAAAAAGGACACTAGGCCACACATGCATACTAAGTACCCTGAGTACTACCTGGTGCCAAAGTATGAACTACTTTTACTGTGAAAAACTACTTGGCCTGTGAAAAAAGATTTATCCTACTTTAAAACCGGAACTGGAAAGACTACAGATAGATGAATAGAATAAGATAGAAAATCCCTTTGTGCCTCTCAGTGGGGAAAGTTTAAAAGATTCAAAATACAAAAATAATAAAAAATGCTTTGTATATACACAATTTAAGAAATAAAAATTATTTAAAAATGAGACATAAGTAACAAAAACTACTGATGTGTGCTTTAATTAAAATCGATTTGTCCGTGTGTAATTTGCTCATTCCAAATTCGGTGTTAGTGCAAAAATAAGTTTGTTCCTGAATGAAAAGGTTCAACCATACATATTTGTAGCTAAAGGAAAATGTACACATTTGCCGTCACTTTTTCAAAAGATATTGAAATTGGCCCGCAACTTCGGCCCGGTGTGAATTTGAGTTTAACGCCCCTGCGTCAAGGCATCAGCTCCTGTAACGCATCAGCTTTCATCAACTGATTGACTGCAGCTGGGCCATTGAATGCAGGCTGAGGAGAAGGTCCAGCATGATGGAGGAGCTGCACAGGGTCCTGAAAACCAGGAAGGGAGAGGGCTCAGGTCCAAGAAAGAAAGAAAGAAAGAAAACTTTCTTTCTATCTTAAATAGCGCCTCTCAAGATAAAAATCACAAGGCGCTTCACAAAAACAAAAACAAATAAATTATCATAATTTTTTTTAATGATTCATAATATGTGTAAAAGGAGAACATTTTAAAATGTAAGAAAGGGGAGAAAGAAAATGAAAAGGAAAGAGGGAAATCAGTGGATCCTGGGATAGAGAAATGAAGAAGAGGGTAGTGATGAGGTCACACAAAAGCTAGCTTGAACAGGTGAGTGTTCAGCTGCTTTTTAAAGGAGACCACTGAGTCCACTGATCCACTGAGTTCCAGAGTCTGGGGGCCACAGCAGCAAATGATCTGTCACAGTAGGCTTTGGTCACCGGACCTCAGGGACCTGCTAGGGGGGTAAGGATTGAGAAGATCACCAACATATGATGGTGCTTGTCCTTGTAAGGCCCTAAAGAAAGTTCTGATGAGAATGAAAAAGAGAGATCATATCTCTCCTGTCTTAGCTTCCCTAAATTGGCTACCTGTTAAATTCAGAATAGATTTTAAGATCCTTCTTCTCACATATAAAGCTCTTAATAATCAAGGTCCATCATACATCAGTAATCTGATTGTTCCATATGTTCCTAACCGAGCACTTCGCTCTCAGACTGCAGGTCTACTGGTGGTTCCAAGAATATCTAAACTTAGGATGGGAGGCAGATCTTTTAGTTATCAGGCTCCTCTCCTGTGGAACCAGCTCCCAGCTTTAGTCCGTGAGGCAGACACTTTGTCTACTTTTAAGAATAGGCTTAAAACATTTTTATTTGATAGGGCTTATAGTTAAAATCTGATGTTAGCCTAAATCTGGACAAGTGGGGGATTACAGGGAGGTGGAGTGTATAGTCGGTAAAGACGGCTCTCCCTTGCCCTGCCTCCAACATGCCTACATCTAAATAGGATAGGTTATCCAGAGTTAACTCTGTAGTTATGCTGCTATAGGCTTAGACTGCTGGAGGACACACTGACCACTTTTCACACTCTACTGCTTTCTTCTACAGTCTGCTCTTTAACTGTACTATTTTGTGCAATTTCAGCTGTTAACTGTACTTTCTCTGTAAGTGTTTTTCTCCCCAGAAGAAGCTACAATGACGTTCTGCTGAGCTGTGGTGGCCTCATGGAGGGGGCCATCGACTAGCACACTGCTGCTAACCACTAATACATTCTCTCTCTCCTGATAATAACTTTTTGTTTTCATTGACTTTTGATGTGCTAATACTAGTTTATCCGTTTAATTATAGATCCACTAGGATAAATACAATAAAGTTTATCTTTCACCAAATACAATATTTACTAAGACATCACAATATAACTATAGACACATTACCTGTGTGTGTGTGTGTGTGTGTGTGTGTGTGTGTGTGTGTGTGTGTGTGTGTGTGTGTGTGTGTGTGTGTGTGTGTGTGTGTGTGTGTGTGTGTGTGTGTGTGTGTGTGTGTGTGTGTGTGTGTGTGTGTGTGTGTGTGTGTGTCTGCCTGCTCTGTCTTCTCGATCCCCAGTGAGTCGTGGAGGATGGCTGCTTATACTGAGCCAGGATTCTCTGGAGGTTTCTTCCTGTTAAAAGGGAGTTTTCCTCTCCACTGTCGCTGCATGCTTGCTTAGTATGAGGATTGCTGTATAGTCACTGACACTAGTCAGTGACTTGATGCAATTTGCTGGGTTCCTTATATAGTGACCTTGGGTGTCCTGAAAGGCGCTTTGAAATAAAATGTATTATTATTATTATTATTATAGGAAACATTATTTCTGATTGGCTTAATGAACTGTGAATTGGAATGTTTATTATGTGAAGTGCCTTGAGACGACTCTTGTCGTGATTTGGCGCTATATAAATAAACTTGACTTGAATTGAATTGAAAGACCAGAACCAGGATCTTGAAATGAACCCTGAAGTTGACTGGCAGACAGTGAAGCTGGAGGAGAAGCGGGGTGATGTGGGTGTATTTGGAGGACTTGGTCAGAAGCCGAGCACAGGCATTCTGAACCAGCTGTAGACGGTTCAGGGAGGTTCTGCTCAGACACGTGAAAAGAGAGTTGCAGTAGTCTAAGCGGGGGGAGATGAAGGATAACAATCTCACATTCAGATCACTGGCAAATCACTGGCTGCAGCTGATTTTAGCCACATGTATAAAAGGCCTGGGATGGAACGTAGTGATACCCGTGATGTAACATGACACCTTCACTCAGTCATCATCATCATGTTGTCATTTAGAGACATAAATAATAAAAGTGTAAAATAAAAGGTGGAATTTAGGTAATTAGTATGTTTTTAATAACCTGACGGAGAACTTTAAGTATTTAATTCATTTCATGTAATTTTGTTAAATGCTAAATATTGACAAAGTTATTTCATTCTATTATATTCTAAATAAGAGGTTGATGCTTTAGAAATGTCTTTAGGAGAGTTTAAACTAATATGTACTGCTGCACTGGCAATTGTTAATTGCTCCTTAGTGTCGGGTATTTTCCTAAACTAAAGCATTGAAAACTGCTGCTCTTCTTAAAAAAAGTTAACTAGATCCCTTACTGATGAATAATTACAGACCAAACTCTAATCTCCCTTTCATTGGGAAAAGTATTGAAAAACAACATTTTGGAGACAAACAGCCTGCTAGATGGTTTTCAGTCGGGCTTTAGACAACACCACAGAACTGAGACTGCGCTGATCAAAGTTACATTTTTTCAATACAGATTCAAGCAAAACATCTGTCCTGATGATGCTCAATCTCAGTGCAGCTTTTGATACTTTGGACCACAACTTTCTTCTTGATGGGCTCATAAAAGGATCAAGTACAGTCCATAGTTGGTTCCAGTCATACCTTGTAGACAGGGGTTGTCTTGTTTCAACTGGTGATCACAAATCAGAGCAGATCACTATGGCATGTGGGGTCCCCCAAGGTTCTATTCTTGGAACATTGTTCTTCAATCTTTATGTTCCCCCTGGGTCAGGTCATATCCCAACAATGCAAATGACATCCAGATCCACCCTGCTTTATCACCTAGAGACTGTGGTCCTCTAGGCTCACTCTGTCAGTGCCTAGAGCTAGTTAATATCTGGATGCGGTCAAACGTCCTTCAATTCAACAAAGACAAGACTGAAGGTGGTGTCCTTGGAAATAAGGATAGGATAGAGGTTATTGCTCATCTTGGCTCTATAGGAACACATGCAAAAAATCTTGGTGTCATAACTGATTCAGACCTGAGATTCACTGATCACAATAAAGCTATAACTAGATCAGTGATTTATCATCTTTATAATTTATCAAGACTCAGAGGTCTCATGTCCAGACCACCTGGAGAAAATTGTTCATGTGTTTATCTCCAGGCTGAACTATTGCAATGGTATTTTGTCTGGTTTCCAAAAAAGCTGCGAAGCAATTGCAGCTTATTCAGAATGCTGCTGCTAGTCTTAACAAAGAGAACTGAACACACCACTCCTGTTCTTAAAGGTGCAATAGTTACAAGTAAACAACAGAATACATTTCA